AGTGTATGGGTAAGTGGGAGGGAATGTCAGAGGCACAAAAGACAACTTAACAGGAATGAGAAAACACTGTAAACTTAGAACCAGGGAACAAGGCGGGGAACAAGGGAACTCTTGGAACCCTTGCCCTGACCAAGGGGTGGGGCCAGCCCCCCCAGGAAGTCAGGGAAATACTGTTGGTTTAATGATGCAGACATACCCGCCCATTTCACAGCTTCTTCCCTCATCAGCAGACACAGACAGGCAACCCTGTTGGGCCTCCTCACCCACAGTAGGAGGAATCCCTAGGGAGGCACAGCCTGGAACAAGGACCCCCTCCAGAAGCATCTGATTTCTGGGAGTGTAAAAGAGCTGGCAAGGTGCTACTTCACAGGCGCCACCACCAGGACTTTGCACTCGCGCTTGGCAATCTTGTCCAGAGAGAGCACAGCTTTTTCTGGGGGCAGGTAGAGGGGGCGGCCAACTGGGGAGGCCACAGGGGGTGTGATGGCCCTGCGCTCCATCACACTGCCGGACCTGGAGGAAGGCAGAGGATGTGGGCTGTGGTTAGACCTCAGGGCCTCTTCTTGCTCCCTCTCCAATTCCAGCCTCTACTGAGTCCAGTGGCACCCCTCCCTTGGATCCATACCTCATGAGGTGACTGCGGGAGGGCTGTTGGTGGGAGAAGGACTGAGACCGGCCCAGGCTAGCCTGGTGCCGCTCCACTAAGTCCCGGACCGCTGGGCTGCTAGGACTGCTCTTTCGAGAGAGGGGCCGGGCCTCGGGCGGAGGATGGGACACACTAGCAGTGAACTGTAGCTTTAGTTTCATGTGCTGGCTCAGCTGGGGTGGAAAGACACAAATCAGCATTCCCATTTGGCTTCCAGGCCCTAGACCTCCTTTCAAATCATCTTCCCCCTTGACAGGCCAATATTGGATCTATATGCCACCTTCCCTCGGCCTGGCTTTTTAGTACCATCCATTGTATTTTATCTCCAGAAGCTAGCAGCCCTGATGCCTCCCATCCCAACATCACCCACAACACATCTAGCCCCTCTCCAGTGCCTCCCCAGCCCACCTCAAAGAGCCCTGTCCTTAGAGCCTGGAAGGCCACACTGAAGGTGAGTGCACTGCCCTTCCGGGAAAAGCCAAGGTTGTTGAGGGGCGTGTGGCAGACAATGGAGTCTAGGGCAGCCTGCATGGCCCGGCGCTCCTCCTCACACAGCTGCTTTCCTGGGAAGGCAGAAATAGCAACCAGTAAACACATCTGTACAGCCAGGGGCTTCCACGAGTAGTCTCGTTTGAGCCTCAAAGTAACTCTTGGAGTAAACTGAGTATTTCTTTTCCCAAATGTTATAAATAATAGCTTGTGTTTACTGTGTTGCTGAGGTCTATTCTAACCACTTCATATACATTAAATCTTTAAATCACCATAACAACCTTATGGGGTGGTGGTGAACAGTATTATTTTCTCCATTTTAGGGATGAGGAATCTGAGGCTCAGAGAGGTTAAGTAACCTCCCCAGGGTCACACAGCTTGTAAATGATGAGGTAGAAATCAAACATACCAGTGAGCCAGCACCAGGGTCAGTGTTCTTAAATCATTCTGCCCCACTGCCTCTCTAAACTCTCCATTTGTGACACTGGAGACCACTGAAGTACAGAGCCAAAGCAGCCTGCCACAAGTCACCCACCTCCATGACTTCTTCCTTTCCTCTCTCCTCCTTCGGGACAAGGGCCCAGCCTGGCAGCAACCTACCAGCCTGTGCGTGCTCTGGGGTCCACACGAGCCTCACAGCAAGGAAGTCTTGGAGATTGTTGAGCAGCGTGTAGGTGACAGTGAAACGCTCGTAGGTCTGAACTGGGGACTCACAAGAAGCAGTCATCACAAAGCACGGGCGATCCAGGCGAATGCTGGGCAGACTAGAAGCAGTGAGAGAGAAAAGCAGGATCTATATTTTGAAACAAAGGTGAACAGGGTGGTACCCACTAGGGGTTCCCACACACTCACCGGTAGTGGGTATAGATACTCTGGGTGAAGGGTAGCTTTGGGGTGGACCACTGAACCACAGCAATCAGGGGGACTTCTAGGCCCTGTGGGAGGGGCAGAGGGAACCATTATGTGTTCAGAGATCCCCTCATCTTTAGGCAATCCCCTAGCCTTTCCCTCCCACTGCTTTTTCTTAACCTTTTTCCTTGAAATCACCAGCGTCTTATACTCACCTCCTTGGCCCCTGGAGGTGGCTGCTCACCCCCTCTCAGCTGAAACAGGAAGTTGTGTTCCTCCAGGGCACTGAGTGGGCAGGGGAAGCAGCCAGAGGTACCAGGGAGCCGACAGAAGGAGCCCATGGAGACCTCCCCAGATTGGTGACTAGTTCAGAAGAAAGGGGACAGAACTGGATCTTTTCATGCCAGAGCTCTTGGCCCTGCTCCCATTCCCACCACTTTACAGCCCTGCCCCTCCCCAGGATCTCACCAGACATTGTCCACCAGCAGCACAGAGCCATCAGGCATGACAGGTAGATAACTGGCATTGAAGTTTGGGAGAATTCGGATATCCCAGATGGAAATTTCCTCCTGGGAGGAGCTGTTCAGCACTGTCAAAGGTAACCAACCCAGCTCAGAGTGATTATCTGGACCCCTCACACCCCACCTTAATCACCCCAAAATGGACCTATCCCCACCAGCCTGGACAGGGTAACTGCAACCCAGTCAATGCCCTTGCTACTACCCAAGACCTGAGCTGCCAATCTGCTCACCCTTGAGAACAGTCAAGTGTTTTCCAGCCACAGTGAACTGGCGGCATTTCAGAACTGGAGGGGGCAGCAGAGTCAGCAGGGTACTCACTGCGGGAGAGGGCAGAGGCAAGAATTGATGGGCTGGGCGCAGACCTCACCTCCAACCCACAGCTCTAATCTTTCGCTTTTCAGATAAGGCACCCCTCTACTCTGTCCCCCAAATTCCAGACTCCATTTTCTCCTGCGTTCTCCCCACCTTGGGCCTTGAAAGCACTCTGCTCTCCCCGGAAGGTCTCCCCAGGAAATCGGGTCTGCAGCAAGCGCAGGTAGCCTTGATCTCTGACCTCTGGTGCCTCAACCTCCCGCTTCCATACAGTTACTACAATCTGAGCACAGGGGACACAGCCACAGTCAAGAGGAGAGACAGACAGCCGGCCTTAGAGAGGACATCTGAATTAGGACAACAGCTCCACCCCTTGCCAATCTTACCTTGGCCTTAGGTGTCCCTGGGGGCAGTCTATCCAGTGAAACAGTGAGTGGGAAGATGACCTCATCTGTGGACACAATTGGTTCCTCCACAGGCAGCTAGGGGTGTGAAAGGGGTGAAGAGGTCAGGAGAGAGTGGCAGCCGCGGCGTTCCCTTTAAGAGGTTCCTGGTTCTTCTTGCCCTCCCCTCTTCTCATCCGTCATCTGCCCCCAGCTTCCCTCCGGTGTCCCTCTCCTCTCCGTTCTTTGGAGCCCAGCAAATCACCCCTCGGTCCTGTGCCGTGTCACCCCAGCTTCTCACCGTGGTCACTCCCCCTGAGGTAGCAGGGCTCGGGCCGTGGGTTAGAAGGGGGCTGCAGCCTCGAAACAACACCCCACCGCCAGGATCCCCGCCCCCTGGGGGTTCGGGATCCTGGTCGCCGGGGCCACCGCCGCCGGACGCCCCGCCTCC